TTTTAAATTAATTTAAATGTAATTTGAAATTAAATTACAATTTTAAATTAGAGGGTGATTTTAATTTAAAATAAATCAATTTGATTTTAAAAATAAAATAAAATACTATTTTATATAATGAAATTGATGAAATCAATTTAAAATTAAAACTAATCTTAAGTAATTTTAGAAATAAAATCAATTACTATTTTAGATAATAAAATGAATAGAATCTTTTTAAAATTAAAATTAAATAAAATTAATTTAACATTAAAACTAATATTAAGCAATTTTAGAAAAAAATAAATATAAGAAAAAAATAATTTTATAATTAATATGATATCAATGCTTTAGATGCATATTAAAAATATATATTATGTATTTTAATAAATTTAATAGATAAAATTAATTTTAAATTAATAAATTTTGAAAATAGAGTCTTAAAAATTAATAATTAGTTTGATCAGTAAATATAAAAATGATTTCAATCAATTTTAAAGATAAAATTAATTAAAGTAAAAATATATAATTTATAATTTATAAAATGAATTAAATGATATTTATTATGTTGATCGGTTGACCTGATCAGTTCAACCAGCTCAACCAATGGAACTATGCTTGGTGACCAAAATCAGTGGATCATCGGGTCAAGCTTTAAAACAATGATATTTAGTTAAAATAAATGTATAAGATTAAATGTGCCTTTTTGACTTCCTCTTCGAAAGTAAATAAATTTAAAATGTAAAAAAGACTAAGTGAAAAGATTCTAACTAAAAGTAACTTATAAATGTAATTTAAGATGGAAAACAAAACATTATGCTTTTCAAATGCAATATAATAAAGGTAAAATAGAAGATTAAAGGTTAGATTAATGCATTTAACACAAATTATTAAGGGAGGGATTGCATTTAACACAAATTAAAAGGAAAAATAGATTAAAAAAATATTTATATTTAGATTAGATCTCAATTGACGCATGTGTAAGTTTTTTTTCTCTTGATTAAAGAGAATATTTTTGAGAAATGATTAAAGAAAATATTTAATTACTAGAAGTGTGTAAGATCGGATGTGCTTTGTCAACTTCTTCTTTGAAAGTAAATAAATTTAAAAAGCAAAAGAAATCAAAGTAATAAATAAAGAAATGAAAAGATTCTAATTAAAAGTAACCTACAAATATAAGATGGAAAACAAAACATCATACTTTTCAAATACAATATAATAAAGGTAAAATAGATGATAAAAATTAGATTAATGCATTTAATACAAATTATTAAGGGAGGGATTGCATTTAACACAAATTAAAAGGAAAAATAGATTAAAAATATATATTTATAGTTAGATCTTAATTAATGCATGGATAGCATTATATATATAGATATAGATTTACATTTATATGTTTTTAATTGATAACACTGTAATCATTTTCTCTGCCCTTGATCCCCTATAATTTTCTCAATCGATTTTGATTTAATCCCCGTTTTTTGCTTGGTCAATTTCAAGCTTCCCCATGTGCGTATCAATAATTGCTACCTTGGTTTTAATTGACACTTATGGTTTCTTTTTATTTACAAAACTCATATTAAGTTTCTCTTACACACTCGCAATTTTTTTCTAATATTTGAGAATCTTTTTCTTAAGCTCATACATATGAAATATATTCCCTATTTTTTTTATCAGGGTAATTACACATTATATCTATTATATATTTTTAATAGGGAATGGAGGAAGGGGAGTTGGGGGTTGAACACAATACGCCCTAGCGGTGTTCCCACTCATAGAATGAAGTGTTACCACTCTGCCATCATATAGAGAATGAAATATGTTCCCTGTTTTATGGTACATGTTTATTTTTATTGAATGTTGTTTTAAAATTCAATGTAAAGTGGTCATATTAGCAAAATTTAGTTTTGCTTTATCTTTTTTCAAGTGATGGTTCATATCTTTTTTTTTTTTTTAACACAGAAAGCATTGCATTACAACACCGCCATTACGGCATCTATAGAACATCTTATCCACGGGATAAGAGTAAAAAAACAACCAGAGAGAGTATAGCTGGAGAGTAAATCCGGAGTAGACCCAATTGCAATGGCAAGGAAGGGAGGTGAACAGTGCACCCAGACAACCTCAAAGGAGCAGATTACCGGTTCCTCTGGTCGAACAATCCAGATAACTGGACACCCTTCAATCTACTCGTGTAGGAGTGGCGCTTAGTCTCCAAGACGCCGAGGCGAGAAGCCAAACTGGCGATGGCCACCAGATCTGGGAACCCAGCAACCACCACAGTAGATCCGCGTGAGGGTTGGACGGCCACCGAATCTCAGCACAACCGAACCAAACAAACAGAAAAAAAAAGGACCACTAGAAGGGATCCAAAAAGCCAACAGACCACCCAGGGGTCATTGGAGAAGGGAGCACGTAACCGGCTCCAGGAGGCTTGAGCAGTCGGAGAGCCCGGCAGCTCGAGCGGCAAAACACTTGGAAAGCCCAAGGACTTCCGAGTTAAAAAAAGGGGATGCTGAGTGAGGGTATGCAAAAACTGGAGAAAACGGTGAGAGAGTGATGGGTGGGGGGATGGTTCATATCTATTATTATTATTAAAGTCAAATTATTCATAACTACTATTAAATTTCTCTGGAGAGGCTATTTATTGTGCACAATTGATTTTCCATTTTTATTTTACTTAGCTATATCTGTTACATTTCAATAAAACTATTGGTTGGTTTATTTTAATATCAAAGGCCTCATTTATTTCTTCTAGATTTTTTATGCTTTGGTAATGTACATTCATCAATTTATATTAGATTGCCCAGCCTTCTATTTTCCCTAATTTTTATTCATAATTTATTTAATAAATGTATATTATTTGAAAGGTCTCTTTTGCATGTATATGTAATGTTATACACATATTAATATTTTTTATAAGATCTAAGAAAGCATACATGTAATATCCCAAAATTTGGGGATATTTTAGCATTAAATAAGGGACTTATATGAGGGAAAATATTATTTTGGGGCTTAATCGTAAAATCTTAAAAAGTTCAGGGACTTAAAAGAAAGAAAATTAGGATAAGGATCAAGGCTGATATTTCTCTCCTCAGCCACGTGTTTTGCTCGTCCTCATCTTCTTCTTCCCGACTCTTCCTCCCGACAACACCCCCCAAGCCCTTCTAGCCACCAACTCATTTTGAGAAAAATTGGTGACCAAGCTTGGGATTTTCTCTTTCTTTTCTTGTTCTTGAACCCAGAAATCCCCCCCCCCCTCTGCTGGAAATTCCAGATCTGCTCTGCTCCTCCCCTGCAGCCGGCAAGAGCCCCAGCCACCGCCACCCATTTCCGGCCGGGAACACCGGCAAAGCTTGGGGATTTCTCCCTATTTTCTTGTTCTAGAACAGCCACTAAACCAGAATTTCCAAATCTGTTCTGCTCTGCGTCGTCCTCTCTTTGCTGTCCGCGAGTTCTGCTATGTGGGTTTGAGTTTCTGGGCATTTTTCGGGTAAGCCACAGCCATAAACTTCATCTTTCAGCTTGATTTAGGATGGGTTTACCTTAATTGCTTTATTCCCTTCCAATTTTGAGGTAGCCGTGAGTTTCCCCTGCAGATGCCGCCGGCTTCTTCTCCCTGCCAGCTCCGGTTTGCTTGCTGGAATTCTGGTAAGTTGCCGGCTCTTCCAAGTCCAATTTATCCATGTAATTGTTGCCTTGTGTGTGTCCAAATTGTTCCGGAAAAGGGGATAAATTCCGGTAGCATTTAGCAGCCCTTTAAATGTGTTTTGTTGTTTAAATTATGTGGGAATTAGCTTGATTAATTGCTGTGATGTTCTGTATGCATAGCCGGGCTTTAGTGCTGTTTTGCCAAGCTCGGTTTCTCCATTTTGTCCGTTGAAAGTTTCCTGTTGAAATGGAGGAGTTTTGGCAGATTTAAAACATGGGTTTTAAGCTTGCTTAACGTAGAAAATTAGCTTGAATTGGGTTGTGATTTTGGAGAGAAAATCCCGTGAAATTAGCTAGTGTTTTGCCCAAATTTTTGAAGTTACCGTCACTGTTCACAGCGGATCACTGTTCACGGGGTACTGTTCATAGGCACTGTTCACACATCGAGGGTTAACTATTAACGGGGATTTAAAGGTTTAGTTTGTGATATAAGAATGAATTTGGAGATGTCCGATTATGTGGAGATTGATAGAAATAGCACTGTGATTAGGGGTAGTGCTAATGATGATTTTACTGTGAATTTGTGGTATGATTATTAATTGTGGAATATTGTGATTAGGTTTTGATCGTTCTATCACCGTAGCACTTGGGTTAGCCTTCTGTTCTGTGTGAGAGAGGTAAGTAAATTATGGTAAAGCTCTTCGATTTCAAAGCATGTTTTAATTGTTTTTGAGATGGTGGCAAGGTTTTAATTGATTTTAAATTGATTTTACCAGCACTTGAGTGTGATTAAACTGAAATGGAAGTTTTGATGATTTTAATGAGAATTTCATGGTTTTTTTGGAAATGAGCATGATTGATTTGAAAGAAGATTATTAGTCTTTTGTATTGATCTGAGCATGCCTACTTGAAATTTAAGTGATTGTCCTGATGATTTGAAAGCGATTGGTGAATTAAGATTTTTCTGTAAACTTCTGCTTGTCTTGTCTCCGATGTGGTTATGTTATTAATGATCCTGCTTTGATGATTTGAGATTGATTGTGAATTTCGAAAATTTCTGTAATCCTACATGGTTTTATCTTTGATATAGTCATGATTTCCTGATCCCCGCTAGTGGGTGTGTAGCATCCTTGATCCCCGCTAGTGGGTGTAACGCTAGCACTCCTGATCCCCGCTAGTGGGTGTGTAGCATCCTTGATCCCCGCTAGTGGGTGTAACGCTAGCACATGTCGACATGTTTACTGATATGACCGGTTTATTTTGACGCCTGCCACTGGACAAATACATTGGCAAATTTCTGTCGCCTGCCAGTGGGTTGTTATAACACTGGCCATGACTTATAGATGAGACTACTGATGAGATTTATTCTGCATGAACGGTTTGTCATGAAACACTGTTATTGAACTGAACGGGACTTTGCATTAACGGTTTGTCAGGAAACATTTTGTTATTGAACTGAATCTGATTTTGCATTGACGATTTTGTCATTGAACGTTTTGCTATTGAACCGAATTTGATTTCCGCATTAACGGTTTATCAGTGAAAGTTCTGTTATACTTGTGAAAGTTCTGTTATACTTACATGGTTTATCTGGCATGCTAAAAGTTTTACCCAAGGGCTATCCATAATTACTTACTGAGTTATCTCATAGTTTTCCTTGTCCACCATTTCAAGAAGCGATACTGAGGACGGGGGAAACCGAGGGGAGTAACGAGTTAGAAGGCTAGTCACCTGGAATTTGATATAGATTTTAGATACAGATTTTAGATACAGATTATGATCTTGTAAGCTGGATTGTAATTGGAGGTTTATAGCTTCATTTAGTGGATTGTTAGTTTATAAGAGATTTGATCTGGAGATTTGAGTTATTGGATTGTCATATGTGATTTGAATAAGTTTCGAGCCTTATGCATTTGTGGGACCCTCTCACGAGTGCACGGCGTCTGTCGCGTCTCAGATTTGGGTTCTGGGGCGTGACAATACATATCTTAATGGTTAGGAGGTTTGATTTTATTAAAGATTTTAATCCTTCGAAAGGGTAAGGGAGAATACAGTTTAGGGTAATTAGGCTTTAAAGACAAATTTTTTATAGCCAAAATTGGGTGAGAATATTGAACTTTTTATTTTAGTTCATAGCAAAAACTAGGTGAGAGTATTGAAATGATTCTTTTAGATGAATTAGTAAGTATTTTATGTCTTAAGTATGGCTTTTATTCAATATTCCGAAGTTTGATTTTAAAGAATTTTTACTTTTAGCACTTTTACATGTTTTGTTCAAGGGAAAGGATTTAAGCAATGCTGAGGCTCTCTTTGTGTTTTAAGAATGTTTTTAATGAAAGAAAAGCTTATATAATTTCAAATTTTGGAGTTTCTTTGAATGAAGATCCTTTTAAACCAACCACCTATACGAACAAGATTGTTTTTAATTCTATGACTACTCAAAGTGTCATGGCCCAAAACCAAGAGCGGAACAGACGCCGTGCACTCGTGAACAGATCCTATAAATGCACAAGACTCGAAATCTACTGTGTTCCTAATTATCAATTTACATAACTTAAATAAAAAACTTGATTAATATCTAGCTTTCCATTACCAAAATTTACTAGTCAAAATGTACAAAAGTTTAAAAGACAGTCATGGCTATAACCAAGGGAAACTCAGTACACAAAAAAATGATTAATCATTTTATATCTATGTCAAGCATTTGTGGCTAACGGCTTAAGTCCAAAAAGGATCTAAGTCCAAAATATTGACTAGCCTTCTCGCTCGTCACTCCCCCTGGTTGACCAAGCCTCGGGTTTCACTTCTTGAAATGGTGGACAAGGAAAACTATGAGATAAGATATCTCAGTCAGTAAAAATATGAGTAGCCCATGAGAAAAATTTAAGCATGCTTGATAAACAATTTAATCATAACAAAACGTTCAATGATAAACTATTAATGCATAATAAGATTCAGTAGTAGTCTCATCTATAAGTCAATAACAAAGCGTTCAATGATAAACCGTTAATGCAGAATAAGATTAAGTAGTAATCTCATCTATAAGTCATGGCCAATGTTTAACAACTCCCGCTGGCAGGCGTTAGTTTCAGTAATAACCAATGTATTATCCCATTGGCAGGATTACAGAATGAACCGGTCCTATCGGTATACATGTCGACATGTGCTAGCGTTTACAAACTTCCACTAGCGGGCGTCAGTAATCAATAATCATGACTATATTAGAGATAAAACCATGCAAGATTTACAGGAAAAATGCGAAATTCACAATCAATCTCAAATTTCAAGAACAAACCGAAAAATTCCATGTGGGCATGCTCAACCCCAAAAATAATAAAAATTTTCATTTCCATTCTAATCATGCTCAGGTGTTAATAAAATCAATTTAAACGTTACCACCATCTCAAAAACAATTTAAAATATGCTTTTACTTTGAAGGTTAAATCCCCAATACAGTCCCTCAACTTTCATTTTTTAACTAAATTTACCCTCGAACTTCAAAAAATACTAAAAAAATCCTTGAACTTCAATTTTTGGAACCATTTTTGTCCTTCTGTCAGTTAAGTGCTGACATGGCAAAATTTCCTGTTAACAAATTCAATTTTTGTTAATATTAAATATTACCTGGAAATAAAACAAGTGAAGTGGCATTTTTAATTATAAAAATATTGTGACTTGGCACCAAAAATATAATTTAATATATAAAAATTTCCTTTCTTTTTTTTTTTTCTTTCCTTTCCTTTTTTTTTCTCCTCCTCTTTCCTTTTCTCCTTCCCTTCCCTACTGGGTTCGAAGGAACCCAGCACCAGCGCCTGGGTTCCTAGAACCCAGGCGCGGGTCGAGGAACCAGGCGAACCTAGCACAGCACGCCTGGGTTCGATGGAACCCAAGTGTGGGTTCCTCAAACCCAGGGCCTAGGTTCGAGGAACACAAGCGCCGGTTCCTCAAACCCAAGCCCTGGGTTCCGAACCCAGTGCCTGGGTTAGAGTCGAACTTGCCTGGGTTTTTTCTTCTGTTTCTTTGTTGGCTGCAATCATGCTTGGCTATCTTAGAATGGGATTTAGAGTTTTGTATGGCTTCTGATTGCTTGAATTTCAAGATCTAGTTACTATTAGTGTTGATTGAAAAGATGTTGTGTTTTTTACATTTTCCTTTACAGATCTGGTATACATTTGCAGAGGAATTGATTTTTTTAATCAAATCTATTGGTCATTATTATTATGCGAGGAACCAAATTTGGGTTCTATTAGAGAGAAGGTTAGGGGAAGAAGTAGATGGTGATTAAAGTGGTAATAGATGAACGGAGCAATGAGGAATGATCGGTGCTAATTGGGTTGCAAGATGAGGAGACATCTGAGGATAGAGAGAGACGAGAGGGGATGGAAGATGAAGAGGGTACTTAAGGAATTTAAAAATTTTTTAATATATAAATTAATTAAAATGATGTGGATAATAATGGGTTAAATTATTTTCCACGTAATTAAAGATTTCAAACAAGAATTGATTTCGTGGCAACTTAGCGTGCCATCTGGCACTTCCGCCGATGAAAGGACGAAATTGGTCTCAAAAATTGAAGTTCCAGGATTTTTTTAGTACTTTTTAAAGTTCAAGGGTAAATTTAGTTCAAAAATGAAAGTTGAGGAACTGAATCGGGGATTTAACCTACTATGAAATAGAATGGCGTTACCATAATTTACTTATTTCAATTGCATAACACAGAAAATTCACTCCAAGTGCTAGGGTGACAGAATAATCAATAACCTAACCAAAATATTACAGGATTAATAACCATACTACCACGAATCCAAAAGAAACCACCACCATGACTACCCCCTAATCATGACACCATTTATATCAACATGGATAACTCACATATTCCACGAGATTTTCTACTCTAAATAATTGAAATTCAGTGTATGAACAGTAACTACAACTTCCAGAAATTTGGCAAGGAGCAGAAAATTCTAAGGAAAAATGCAGTAAAATGCAGAATTTTCCTGGAGAAAATACAGAATTTTTTCTGGCTTAAAAACAGTGCAGAAACAGCTAGAAAGAGTGCAGGAAAATGCAGAATTTTTTAGGGTTATAAAAGTGCAGAAAACAGTAAGGAATATGCAGAAAAATGCCGCAACAATTTGCAGAAAACACAGCAGCAATTTTGCAGAAAATGCAGCAACAAAACAACATAATTTCCTGCATGAACAGTAAAATTTTATGGCAAGAACAGCAGGATTTTCTAGTAAATAGCAGTAAAAACAGCAGCAAATTGCAGAGAAAAACAGCAGCGAATTTGCAGAAAACGCAGCAAAATTTTGCACCACAACAGGTACAATTTCTGGACACAAACAGCAAATAGTTCCAGACAAAAATAGCAGCCAATCAAGATAATTTCTACATAAATCAAGCTGAAAAAAATGTTCTAATTGCTACCGGAATTCATCCCCTATTTTAGCAAAAATTTGGACAGCACAGGCATTTAATGGATAAACTCAGCAACTAATGGGTAAATTTGGACTTAGAGGGAGCTGTCACATACCAGAAATTCAGCAAGCAAAAATCGGAGCTGGTGGGTTGGGGAAACCAACGGAAATTGAAGGAGAAATCAGGGGATCTACCAGAAATTGGGAGAAACCAAAAGAAATTAGAATAAACCCAAGCCAAATCAAGGGAGAAAAGAGGAATTAGTGGCTGTTTCCTTACCAGAAACCTGAAAAATTCACACCCACAAACCAAGAGCAGCGGACGGAGGGGGAAGGAGCAGAGCAGATCTGAAATTTTCTGCAGGGGGAAGATTTCTAAGTTCTAAATCTTGTTCTTGAACAAGAAAAGAAGGGAAAAATCAAGCTTTTACCGTTTCTCGAGAGGGTGGTCTGGTCGGTGGCTTGGGCTTCTTGTTCGGCTGCAAGGGAGAAGAAAAAGAGCAGAACGCGCGGCTGAGGAAGAAAGAAAGAAAAAAAGCAACCATCCTTATCCTAATTCTTTTCTCTTTTAAGTCCCTTATATTTGAAAATTTTATGATTAAGCTCAACAATATTATTTTCTCACAATTATATCCTTAGCTCATACTTAAATGTTCTAGAAATTTTTTTGGGTACTACACAAAGTTTGGTTAATAATTCCAACATTTCTTATTATGCATTTTCTTTCATTGAATTTGATAAGATTTTGAACTAGACTCAAGGAAATGCTTTCTTAGTTTGTATAGTTGTTACTAAAAAATTTGATTATATTTTTATCTATTTCAATTTATTGAATTACACTTTCGTGTTGATTTGGTTTTTATATTAAGTGATTTGCTCTTTTGCAAATGTTATTAGGTTGTTACTAGGTGTAGTTGATAGGAAGGAATTGATCAAAAATGATTCTCCATTAAATATAATTGGTTTAATCCCCTTTTTTGTCCCTTAACTTGAGTGTTTTGCACCAATTTTGTCCTTCAACTCCATTCTTTTTTTTTTTTTTTTTTTGTCCCTTTACTCCAAATTTTTGCACCAACCATGTTCCTCCGTGGACTCCCATCCAACTCCGCTTGTTAAACTAACAGGCTACTTCAATCTCTAAAATTTTAGTGAGGCAATTACACTTGGGAAAAAAATGTTTAGCTGGACAAATTTTACCCCATCTCACTATCGGCCCATTCAAAGGGCTTATTTTAATTTACAGGATCCATTACAGAGTAAAAGAAAAGGAAAAAGAAAAAAAAATCAAAATCCTTGACATCATTAAACTTTTTTTTTTTTTTTGTGAACCCTAGATTTCGAAAGAAATTGCTTGAAATTTTAGATTTTTTATTTGTGTATTACATGTTTTATGGACTCCAATGGCAAGAAAGTCGTTGATCTCAAGCAAGAGTGGAGTATGAATATTACTAAATATGAGGTATATATTTTAGATTTTGTTTAGAATTTTGATTTTTGTGATTGTGGTTTTTGGAGGGTAAGACTTTTTCTGGTGAAATTTCTACTGAGATTTTTCAATAAATATAGTATAAAAATAGACAATTTGGTCTCGAGATGTATGACAATGGAGAAAAAAAAGAACATAGATTCCCACATATAATAAATATTTACATTTGTCTCATTACTTTTATAAATAATAATTTTTATTAAATATTTAGAATTTAAATGATAGTGATTGAATTTTTATTTGCCTTTGTTATAATGTAGATTGAGATATATTTTATACTATTGTTGTATTATATAAAATAATATATCAAAGAACACGTGCTTCCTATTGTACATGCATGTGGGGGTAGATTGCTCACTGACAGTATTAAAGGGATGCAGTACAGTGGTAGTGAGTGTTGGAACTAGAAACTGGAACCAAAGAAGAAATGACTTATGAAGTATTCTCTATTTTTTTAGACACGTAACTATCATATAATTAGTATTTTTAGATATAGTTTATATTTGTTGTCTATGATTTGATTATAAATTATATGTGATTATAATAATTATGTAATATTTTTTAACTCAAATAATATTTTAAGTAAAATATTAAGTATGTCATTCTATAATTATTTAGTTATCTTATAATATGTAATAGTTTATTAAATTATTTTGTATTATTCAATGTTATTAACTATCGTTCTCCAGTTTTTTTACTATATTTGGCCAAAAACTTATTTTGATTGTATTTTTTTTTTTTTGTTGTTAAAAGAAAATGCAATGCCAAAGTTTAAAATGTCCGACTTTGACTCGGTGTCGACACTGTCTTGAAAGTGTCGATACGTCTTATCGGCAATATTTGCGTTAGGACTTTGTGTCAGGTTTTAGGTTTTCAATTTTAAAATTTTGCATCAAAGTATGACATTTGCAGTTGTCCAACTAAGCTTTTTTTTTTCTTTTTCTTTTTCTACGTGTAATTTCCATTTCATTCAAATTTTATAATACGGAAGTAACTCATTAGTTTAACAAGTAGAGTTGGATGGGAGCTGACAAAGGGACAAGTTTGGTGCAGAAATTTAAAGTCAAGGGATTAGAAAAGTGTAGAATAGAGTTAAGGAATAAAATCAATGCAAAACACTCAAGTTGAGACACCAAAAAGAGGATTAAGCCAATATAATTTCATTTGAATTTGACGAGGTAAGGTTTTTTTTATTTGAATATTCACTATTAGAGAATGTAATATAACCAATAAAAATATAACCAACACTATTGACTATAGACATATAAACGATAAAGTAACTATTGATAATGTTAGAGAGTCAATTTTTTTTTTTGAATATATAATTAACAAAAATTCTATCGATTATATTTATATAATCGATAAAAATATGACTATTGATTATAAATTGTAATTAAATAACAATACAATTGATAAAATTTTTGTTATTTATATTTCTAAAACTAACAGTAATGCTATCGATTATATTTATATAGGGATATAATACATATATAAACACTTATTCTCACTTAACTATATATTTTGTGTAAATATAATAACTTAATCATAAATGTCTAATCTTAGAGTTGATATCCATATAACTAACATTAACTAAAAAAGGTCATAAGCATAAATATATATAAATTATATTTCTATGAAGAAGAATACATATAGATTATATAGTCATTTAATATTAATTCTTAATACTAATTTTGGAAATCTACATTTTATTGTATTAGATTTTCACTACTAAATATATCTTTTACATTTAAGAAAATTAAAAATGTATATATATTTAACATATTTTGATTATAAAAAGAACAAATAGAAATAGATGCAAGAGTGGATAGAAGACAACATTATATCGACAGCTAATCAATAGTTGGTTATGTTTTAGATACCCAACAATGAGTGTCGGTTATCTCATACCTTTCCTTTCCTTTTCTTTTTCTTCTTTATTTCTCTTCTCCCTTTCTTTTTACCTTTCTTCCTTCAAACAAATTTTGCATTATTTCATCTCAAGTTATTTCTTCTTATTTTTCATTTAGATTTCTTTTTGTTTCTATATAATCAAGTTAATTTTTCTTCTATCTGTTGACGATTTTTTTTTACAGCTTATTAAGTTTAAAATCATATTATGAGATAACTTTCACTGTTAATTTTAATTTATGCAATTTATCTCCTTTTATTTCCATCAAATCTTATAATTTATAATTTCCCTAACAAAGTGTGTTTGTTTTTTTTTTTTTTAATTTATACTTAAATTATCTCATTATAGATAAATTACAATTTCTTTTTTTCTTGTATTTAAATTATTTCTCTTAATTTCCATATTTGAATATATGTTTTAGAATGTTAATTTTTCTTCAAATATAGTTTGTGTGTAAATATATATTGTTATGGCACTTGATTGATTATGATTGTATTTTGTTTACTATTTTTATAATTTAATTAATGACTACAAAACTAATTTTTTGAATTTTTTTTATTATTGCAGAGTATAACAGACAAGCAATGACTGTCTATTATATTATTTTTTAATGTAAAAAAAAATCTTCTAGTAACCTACTTAATTGATAAAAATGCTACTAGTTAAAATGGTTATAATTGAGAAAAAAATATTTTTGTCATTATACTAATTTTCAACTCACATTTATTCAACAAAAATTTTTGTTGAATTTGTCGATTATAAGGATAATCAACAAAATTTCAACTATAATTGACAAGACCGTCTATCAATTATGCCTGATTCTCTAGCAGTGATTCCTATTCTTAATAGTTTCCATTTTTTTTTTTTCAATTTGTTTATTTTTCTTTCATCTTTCTTAGATGTACCCTCTAGAAAAATTTTGGAGATGCAATATTTTCGATGGTTAATAAAAACTCCCATGAACTTGTTATTTTTGTCATTGAATCTATGAAGATGAAATCATGGAAAGGTTTTATTTTTCTTTTTTTTTAATTATCAATTTTAGTGTTTTCTTTTTATTATATTTTTTAAGTTTTAAACATTTTTTTGGTGGTTTATTTAGGTATAATAGGGATTTCCAACACTATATTTAATACTAGAATATTTATAAATAATTATGATATTTCAAGGTTTTAGCATTTAAGAAGAGGTAATATTACAATCTTTAGCAGGTTCTCTTTTATTATGTATCAATATTTTTATTTTTATGTACTAAAATTTAATGTTAGTAAGATTCTTGCTAGTGAAGGAGTTCACTTCGAAAACCTTAGTAAACTTTGGCACTTTATTACTTGATGACGAAGTTCTGCTTCACGCTTTAAAGGAGATTATTGTGGAAATTAAGGAGTCTAACAGCTTTGTATTTAATTTCATCCCTAAATTCAACTTTTCTTCTTTCAATTTAGTTCCCAAATTTTTAAAATATTTGCACTTAAGTCTCATTACTTTTATTGTTTAGCATTTCAATCCTTTTTGCATAAACAATAAAATTATGTAAAATCCATAAAAATTCACATTCTATCCATCTAAAATGAATAAAATCAATGCTAAAGTAAGAAATTAAAATATAATAAAATGCATGTCATCATTATCTTATCACCACTTTCGTTCATTCGAAACCCAACTTATAGTTAGAATTAATGTCACGCCCCAAAACCCGAATTCGAGACGCGACAGACACCGTGCACTCGTGAAAGGATCCCACAAATGCACAAGGCTCGGAACTTATTATACCACGATTTGATACCATTAAAATCTGAAGATCAAATCTTTAAAAATTCTCTAATATCATAAAATCTCCAAATACACTATAGCTTACAAGATCATGATTTATTTCTAAAATCTATATCAATCGCGAAATGGCTAGCTTTTTAACTCGTCACTTCTCGTGGTTTCTCCGTCCTCGGTTTCACTTCCTGAAATTGTAGAAAAGGAAAACTATAAGATAACTCAGTAAGTAAAATATGGATTGCCCTTAATTAAACGTATAGCATGCCAACAAGTGTAATCAGAAAAACGGATACAAGTACGAGAATGAAATAGACGTCTCCTCTATAGGTCACGGCCAATATTATAAACCTCCCATTGACAGGCACACGATTTACTAGTATATAATCCCCACTAGCAGGGTCACTATTTGCTGGTGTATAACCCCCACTAGCAGGGTCACTATTTGCTGGTGTATAATCCCCACTAGCAGGGTCACTTGAATGAACCGGTTCTATCACTAACATATTGACATGTGCCGACATGTGCTAGCGTTTAACCCCCACTAGCAGGGTTACAGAAACATGACTACATCGGAGACAAAACAGGCAGAAGTTAACAGAAAAATCACAATTCATCAATCACTTTCAAATCATCAAGACAATCAATCAAATTTCAAGTAGGCATGCTCAATTTAATGAAAATCATAAAAATATTTCACTTCAAATCAATCATGCTCATGTAAAACGGGTTTAGTCCCACCACCACTTCAAAAACAAATCAAAACATGCTTTTAAAAATCAAAGGACGTTACCATAATTTACTTACCTCACTCCGCAAAACCGAGCACTCAATTCACATGCTAAATTGACAGAACGATCAAGAACTTAATCAAAATACCTCAAAATTAATATCGGACTATCACAAATTCAAACTGAAATCATCATTAAGATCACTCCTAATCACAATGCTATTTCTATAAATCTCTACATTATCAGATATCTCCAAATTCGTTTTTATATCACAAACTAATCATTTAAATCCCCGTTAATGGTTGACTCTTGGGGTGTGAACAGTGCCTATGAACAGTACCCGTGAACAGTGTCTGTCAACAGTACCGTGAACAGTAACTTCAACTTCCAAAAATTGGCAAAACATAGCTAATGCACGGGATTTCACTCCAAAATCACAACAACCCAATTCAAGCTAATTTCCACTTAAATTAAACAAAAACCCACTTAAGCTACCAACTCCCGGAATAGAAAAATGGAGAAAATGGCTCGGCAAAAACCACACTCACACCCGGGATTTCTCACACAAAACATCACAGCAGCTAATTCAAGCTAAATTCTACATAATCAAGCTTAAAACACATTTAAAATACTACCGGAATTCCTCCCCATTTCCGGCACAATTCGGACACACACAAAGCAGCAATTAAATGGCTAATTTAGGGCTTAAAGAAGTGGCCATCATACCAGAATTTTCCAGCAAGAACCGGAGCTAGCAGGGGAAGAAGAAGCCGGCGGCAAGCTGCGGGAAACTCACGGAAACTACCCAAAATTCAAGAACCACTACCAAAAATTAGAGTAACCCAAGTTAAATCAAGGCTAAGGAGATGATTTCTTGGCTGTGGCTTACCCGAAAAATGCCCAGAAATTCAAACCCACAGCAGCCGGCGGACAAGGAAGAAGAGCAGAGCAGAACCGGAATTTTCTGGGTTGAGAGGGAAGATTCTAAGCCCCAAATCTTGTGATTTAACAAGAAAGGAAGAGAAATTCATCAAGATCTCACCGGGTTTTTCAAGGGGGAAGAAAGTCGGTGGCTTGGGGGGCTTCGGTCGGCAGAGGAGGAGAAGAAGAAGGGCAGGTCGCGCGGATAAGGAAGAAGAAAAAGAAAGAACAACTCAGCCATCCTTATCCTAATTTCCTTTCTTTTTTAAGTCCCTCAACTCTTAAAAATTTGACTATTAAGCCCCTCTATAATATTTTCCCTCAAATAAGTCCCTTATTTAATACTAAAATATCCCCAAATTTTGGGGTATTACAATTAATGTGCCCTATACAACTATAGATATAGCAAAAATTAGTCAATCTCATGTTTAATCAACAATCATTCGGTTTTTGTAGTGGAAATCTAGGTAGTATTGAACCTTTGTCTACAGGATTCTAACTTGGATACTAAACCTAACTTTCAAGGATATATGTTATGCTTTTCATCAACATTTATAAGCTTCCCAAGATTTTTTGACCGTCATTTGACTAACATGCTGGAATTGGAGACCTAAGCCTATCAGCAAGTCATAGAAATGAGTCCAAAAAGGATTCATTAAGAAATCATATTACTTTTAATGTCGATTCCTCCACGAACCTCATTAAAATTACTAGTTAAGTACCTATAGAAAATTCCATGGTGTTTTTAACAAAACTTCTCTATGTCATATCTATTCAAGAAGTGAAACATAGAGTTTATCACCAACTTGTTGATTTTCACCCTAGAATAGAATAGATGCTATACACTTATGGTGAGAACCATAGGTAAAAACCAACATTTAGCTCCTCACCTTACAAATTTGGTAGGTTTTAGCCCCTTACCTTATAACATGACAGTTTTAGCTCTTTGTCTTACAAAATTGTTAAGTTTTAGCCCCTCACCTTACAAAGTTAGTAGGTTTTAACCCCTTATCCTATATTATGATTTTTTATACCCTCACCGATACAAATTAAATAAAATAGCCTTCACCTAATATTAGGTTATAACATTCTATTAATTTTGTTAATTGACTGTTAACATTCGTTAGTTTTCTGTTATAAAAAAACATGAAATTTAAATTTAATTTTATTTGTTAGTTATATTAACGGAATGCTAACAATCAGTTAACGGATGCTAACAATAAACTAATAGAACTAACAATAAACTAATAGAACTAACAATCAACTAATAGAACTAACAATCAACTAACAGAACTAACAGAACTAATAGAATATTATAACATGATGTTAAATAAGGGCTATTTTTTTCAATTCGTACAGATAAGAGGCTAAAAGTGTCATAATATAAGACGAGGGGTTAAAACTTACCAACTTTGTAAGGTGAGGGATTAAAACCTATAATTTTGTAATATAAAGAGCTAAAAATGTCATATTAAAAGGTTAGGGGCTAAAACCTACTAATTTTGTAAGGTGAGGGGCTAAAAGTTGGTTTTAGCTTATAACCATAAGTGCATAAGACTTAAAACCAAGTTAGTTTATTTTGCAACACCAAAACTAATAATTAAAGTCTAAAAATATCTCAAATATTACTAAAAGTCAAATAATCTCCAAATAAATACTTGTAAGTAAAATTATACAACATTTACTAAATAGGTCCTCCAACTTTTTAATACTAACAAATAAGTCCAAAAACTAATCCATCAACTAAGTCCAAATTAAATCTAATAAAAATTTGTCACATGCCTTGCTCCCCAAAGTCTCTAGCATCATTACCTAAAATGGTGGATTGGAAAACATAAGATATAATCCTAGAAAATGAATATTAGGCTTCTTATTTTATTTTATTTTTAATTAAACATGCCAACAAGTTTAAATCAAGTATTAAACAAATAGATACAAGTATGGATAATGAAATAGACATCTCCTCTACAAGTCTTGGTTAGCATCTATAAACCTCCTATTGGCAGGCATAAAATTACTAGTGTATAATTCTACTAGGAGGATAACAAGTGTAATACGAATGAATCAATTCCACAAGTAATATGTTGACATGTACTAACATTTGTAAACCTCCCATTGGTAGGCACAAGTAAAATATGACTATATTGGAGGCTAAACAGACTAGAAAGTGTATATCAAGTATGCTTGCTTCAAGAAAAGCAAGTACCTCACATATCAAGTAACATGTATTAAGTAATTTTTACAAATAGATATGCTAAACTAATAAAATTCAATTTAAAATAAAACAAGATTTAAATCATGCTATTTAAATAAAAATAAGTTTTTTTTTAATGCCGCCACTATCTTAAAACTAGTAGAAATGATGTTCTAAAAATGTATTTTTAAAATTAGAGACACAATCATAATTTCACTTATCTTAAATAATTACAAAATAAGAAACTAAAGTTGCAACAACCAAACAATCAAGGTCCTAAAACTTATATCAGGTCATAAGGAGCTATAATTCAAATAAATTATACAATTTTATATTTACTCTTGACCTCAATTAAATCTAAGTATTTTTATTTAACTTGTTAACAGGTGTTGACACCTGTTTGTGACTAGAATTAGAGGTGTTGACACTGTTGGCCAACACCCGAAGCAGATACGCTGCTACTGCCGCCGCGCAGCACGGCAAACCGCACAGCAGCACCACATGCAACGCGTGGGTGTTGCGTGGTAGCATCTCATCTCCACTTTCATTGTTTAATGTTGCAGCTTTTTTTTTTTTTTGGTTATAATTTTGTTAATATCTTATTTTATTCTTTTTTGTGTGACAGTACTCAAGGCTGCATCGCAGCTTTCTACTCTATCCCCTTTTATTTTATGTAAATATATTGCGAGAAAAGTATTTTATATGTATTTAAAAAAAATTAAAATGATATATCTAAAATTTTATTTTTTTAATTAGTATTTTTAAAAACTAATAGTTAAATTAAAAGTTTTTAATATATAAATTATGCATATCAATTTTTAAATTATTTTAATAATTCTAATCACTTTGTTGATTATAAAAAATTTAATATTGTTGAATATATACCAATAGATATAATTTCTTTAATTAAAGTATTATAAGTATTAGATAAACACAAGAATTAATATAAATAATTTATATACGGGAGCTGAAGCTGGTCCACAAACAGCAGAAAAGAATGGCGACAGAGTAAGACTTGAGGGGAGTGAGTGCCATCAGCGTTTCGCAGCAGTCTGGAAGTTCGTCAGTTTCTTGTAGTACTTTGGCTGTCTACTTCTTTGGTTAAAATGTTTCATTTGAATTTAGGATGCCGATTGTGTTTTGAAGTTCCAGTTGTTGTGATCTTTGTAACATCCCAGCTGATTTTGTATTTATAATGGGTAGGAGTACCCCTTATGCTCCACAAAATAAATTTTTCTTTGCTGATAAAAAAAAAAATATAAATAATTTATATAAATAAAATTTTTAATTTAATGATTAATTTTTAAAAATATTAATTAAAAACTAAATTTTTAAATAAATCCTCTAAAAAAATTTTAAAAGAAAAGATTGTCCTATACCATCCTAGTATGTTATTCCTCTTTCATCTTTCTTATTTTTATTTAGGTGCAGTTAGTGTCAATACCTGATCTGTTACCAGAATCAGGGTGTTAACACTTGTCATACTCAAGGCTGCATTGCAGCC